AGTGAAACAGTGAGAATGTGTAGAACTATATATATAACAGATGGAAATTATGGCAGTCGGTCAAAAAATGAACCCCAAAGATTTCTACATTTTTGGACTCAAGGAACTTTGAAACGTGCAAAAAAATTTGGGGGTTTTATTTGTATGTTAGTGTACATGTGTGTGATGGGTACGATTAATTCACCAATTTGGAGCTCAATAACTCCTGTATCTTTTGTCGAAATTTTCTGAAATTTGGCAGGGAGGTTTGTGTATTAGGGGGATCGATATTATAAAATTTTCGTGGTTAAAGTCGAGGGGGTCATGTGTCGAGATACGTTTCCACAGGGGTCGGATTTAATGAAGATTTTACTCGTTACTAACATTTACATTTTTATTTTATAAAACAAACGGGTCTTTTTGCCATTTTGTAGTAATTAATAATATAAAAAGTTTTTGTTACAATCTCATAACAGATGGCGCTACATACAATTTTAACTTTTTTGCCAGTAAAGTTACGTAACTCGTTGCTTTTATTAATTGTTTTTTGAAGGTAATTTTATTTCAGAATTATCAAATTATATTAAATAAATTGAAATGCAATTTGTTATGTCTGTCTGCATAAACAATGTCTTATTACTCGATTTTATAGGATTTTATGGATATAAACTCTTGAAAAAAAGCGATTTTTATATTAAATTTTTCAATAAAGTTCATAAAAATAAAATAATTTCGATTCAAATAAGATCGTTTAATGTATTAAATAGGTTAAATTGAACTCAAATTTGTATTTTTTGTAGCGTAAACAGCTTCGCGTTACTCGATTTTATAAATTTAAACAATTGAAAAGGCATTTTTATAGAGTTTTATATAAAAATTGATTAAAGAAATTTTTAAAAATAAATTCATTCTCGTCTAAATTAGGTAATTTAACCCACCACTAACCACCACCACCACTCAAGATACGACACACGATTCTTCCTCTATCTCCCCACCCCTTTGACCTTTAATCATCAAAATTTAGTAGCATCAATGCCCCCAATACTCGAACCACCCTGCAAAATTTCAGAAATTTTCGTCGAAAGGTACAAGAGTTATTAAGTTACAAAGTGCATGTCCCCCACACATACATGACATCCACTACATACAAAAGAAATCACTTTTCATGTAGTTTAATTATGTCTAATTATTATTAAAAATTGTAATTTTGTTAATGGAGAGTGGATGAAAAGACAGTTAACCCTTTAACGTACCGGTTAACTGACTTTTAGGGCATTTTTTTAAAATCATTTAACTTGTTAATAAAAATATCAATTTAAAATTACTTCTTGATACTTTAAAAAATTGTTAGTTTATTAACTTTAAAATATATTAATTTCAAAAGTATCATTTTCATGTTGATGTAGTTAATAATTTTGATTGTTTTACTTTGGTAAACACATAATTAATGCACTTATGTTGTGTAATATTACACTTGTTTATGAAATTTCCTTGTAAATAGAACGAATTGATATTGACTAAGAGGACACGTAGGATATTGACCATTATTACTACTCGATCAGCAACCAACAAGTAGAAAAATATGGAGTCAATCAATACGTTTTCTACTTACATTCGTCGACAGTTTCGGATTTGATCAACGTCGAGGGAAGATAGTTGCTGATACAAATGAAATTTCCTCCCGAAAATATACTCTTGGCATATTCATTATACCAATAACACGCATTCGATTTTCACGACAACGTCCTTCCACCCCTCTCGCTCTATTTATTATTTATGAGTTCGTCTCTTGATCTCTTGATAAATAAATTTTTTTTTCCTTCCTTCCTCGCTCCCTCGATGATTTATTTTTCGAATTTTTCGATACTACAGTTTATAAAATTTAATACATTATATTTTTTGTTTATGAATTTCGTATAATGTCGTCTCTTCTAATGGAGAAAATCCTCTTTTAATTATGACCTAATTTTTTTCTATCGATTTAGATCTATTTATTTATCGAATTTAAACCTCTAATTTAAGAAAAATTAATTCATTTTTCGTTTTATTAATCGTTTTTAAGGTAATTCTCACTGTTCTCTGTCCCTCCTTGATCTCGATAACGGTGTTATATAGATGAAATCGAGACCGGATGTGGAAAGATTAGTGGCAGAAGACCTCGATTAACTATATACGAACTTCCGGTATAGACCGGAAGACACGTGATTTCAATTCAAAAAATTTTTTTCTCAGAAAGGAGTTAGATAGATGACCGGCATGACTCTGTTGTTTTAAGGAAAAGTATGATTTACAGGGGTAAGCAATTACTATTTTGGGGTGGAGAGCATATATTTGAAATTAAATAAATTAAAAATATGATTAAAAACTACAGCCCAGCATTGTGACGATGTTTTCTTTTGGAATTCATCAAACGTTACGCGATTTTATAAGTTTAAAAAAATGAAATGCATATTATTATGATGTATTAATTTTTAAACATGGCGTGACTTTCGTTCCAGACAGGAAGTTCATATATAGTTAATTGGGGCCACCTGTTCCTAAGCCTTCTATATCTGGTCTCGATTTTCATCTGTTTACTCAGTTCTGGAAATTAATAAAGGGCTGGCAGATGGACAGACAGTGAAACAGTGAGAATGTGTAGAACTATATATATAACAGATGGAAATTATGGCAGTCGGTCAAAAAATGAACCCCAAAGATTTCTACATTTTTGGACTCAAGGAACTTTGAAACGTGCAAAAAAATTTGGGGGTTTTATTTGTATGTTAGTGTACATGTGTGTGATGGGTACGATTAATTCACCAATTTGGAGCTCAATAACTCCTGTATCTTTTGTCGAAATTTTCTGAAATTTGGCAGGGAGGTTTGTGTATTAGGGGGATCGATATTATAAAATTTTCGTGGTTAAAGTCGAGGGGGTCATGTGTCGAGATACGTTTCCACAGGGGTCGGATTTAATGAAGATTTTACTCGTTACTAACATTTACATTTTTATTTTATAAAACAAACGGGTCTTTTTGCCATTTTGTAGTAATTAATAATATAAAAAGTTTTTGTTACAATCTCATAACAGGTGTCGAGATACGTTTCCACAGGGGTCGGATTTAATGAAGATTTTACTCGTTACTAACATTTACATTTTTATTTTATAAAACAAATGGGTCTTTTTGCCATTTTGTAGTAATTAATAATATAAAAAGTTTTTGTTACAATCTCATAACAGATGGCGCTACATACAATTTTAACTTTTTTGCCAGTAAAGTTACGTAACTCGTTGCTTTTATTAATTGTTTTTTGAAGGTAATTTTATTTCAGAATTATCAAATTATATTAAATAAATTGAAATGCAATTTGTTATGTCTGTCTGCATAAACAATGTCTTATTACTCGATTTTATAGGATTTTATGGATATAAACTCTTGAAAAAAAGCGATTTTTATATTAAATTTTTCAATAAAGTTCATAAAAATAAAATAATTTCGATTCAAATAAGATCGTTTAATGTATTAAATAGGTTAAATTGAACTCAAATTTGTATTTTTTGTAGCGTAAACAGCTTCGCGTTACTCGATTTGATAAATTTAAACAATTGAAAAGGCATTTTTATAGAGTTTTATATAAAAATTGATTAAAGAAATTTTTAAAAATAAATTCATTCTCGTCTAAATTAGGTAATTTAACCCACCACTAACCACCACCACCACTCAAGATACGACACACGATTCTTCCTCTATCTCCCCACCCCTTTGACCTTTAATCATCAAAATTTAGTAGCATCAATGCCCCCAATACTCGAACCACCCTGCAAAATTTCAGAAATTTTCGTCGAAAGGTACAAGAGTTATTAAGTTACAAAGTGCATGTCCCCCACACATACATGACATCCACTACATACAAAAGAAATCACTTTTCATGTAGTTTAATTATGTCTAATTATTATTAAAAATTGTAATTTTGTTAATGGAGAGTGGATGAAAAGACAGTTAACCCTTTAACGTACCGGTTAACTGACTTTTAGGGCATTTTTTTAAAATCATTTAACTTGTTAATAAAAATATCAATTTAAAATTACTTCTTGATACTTTAAAAAATTGTTAGTTTATTAACTTTNAACTCTGTTATCGACATTAACGAAGAACAGACAGACAGACGGATGGCAGTGGAAATTTACAGGTGTGCAATTTGAAAATTGCATTTTTTTTAACCACGTGTCTAAAATATTTTCAATTTCAAATAAACACGCGATTATTATTTGAAAATTTTCAAATAATTGCGTAAATTGAAACGTATTTTTATAATGGAAATTCATTTAAATGTTAATTTCGAGAGCGTATATATTTTTTTAACCACGTGGTCAAAAACACGTATCTGAAATAATTTCAATTTCAAATAAGCACGCGATTATTTGAAATTGAAAATATTTTAGACACGTGTTTTTGACCACGTGGTTAAAAAAATATATACGCTCTCGAAATTAACATTTAAATGAATTTCCATTATAAAAATACGTTTCAATTTACGCAATTATTTGAAAATTTTCAAATAATAATCGCGTGTTTATTTGAAATTGAAAATATTTTAGACACGTGGTTAAAAAAAATGCAATTTTCAAATTGCACACCTGTAAATTTCCACTGCCATCCGTCTGTCTGTCTGTTCTTCGTTAATGTCGATAACAGAGTTAGGTAGACTTTAAAACAAATTCGTCAGTTAAATTACAGGGTGGCCCAAAAGTCAGTAACCCTTGTAAAGAATAAAAGACTGACTAATCAAATTTTAAAGCTTATTTCCACCTTTTTTTTAAATAGAAAAACGCCTTATTTTTAAATTCAGCTTACAGTTTACATTCGCAAGTATACGTGTTATAACACACGAAATAAAACGGTTAACTGATTTTTGAGCCATCCTGCATATTATTTTCAGTTTTTTTATATTATTATTATTATTATTTTATTTTTTTAATGCGTAAGAAAATAAATTTCAATTGTTTTTATTGTTATAAAATTAAGTGTAACTTGTCTTATTGATATAATTGTTTACGATCGTTCCTTAACAGAATTTCATTCACTAATTGGTTAAATTTATGAAGTTTATCAGCTTAAAAAAACAGGTAATTACAGTATAAAAATTTGCTAAATAAACTGAGCCAGGAATAAAATCAGTTGTTAAATCTGTTAATTATTCTGATAAATGAAAGTGAAACTTTCAAATAATATTTAATGATTTATTTATTTATTGGGCAGCTGTAATTTTTTCATAATTGCTGCCCAATAAATTCTTAATGTCGTCTGTTTGTCGGTCTGTCTTTCCTTAATCTCAGAACGAAATTAGATAGACGAAAAGCGAAAAAAGATGTGAAAATCGTAGGAGAAAGAGGCCCCAATTAACTATACAAGAACTTCCGGTTCAAACCGGAAAACACGTGACTTCAATTCAAAAATTTCCCCCAGGACGGAATTACGTAGACGACCAACCAACACGAGTCTGTTCTTTATGCTTAGTATATGGCACGCGGGCTCAGAAAGGTTTGGCCACTCCCTTCCCCCCGCTTTAGATTAATTATTACATCTATTTAAATTAGTACTATTGATCATAATCAAAATCCTGCAACGAGTTGCATAACTTTTCAGGCAAGAGTTAAAATTGTTTGTGGCGCCATCTGTTACGCGATTTTATTTTTAAAAAATATTTTTTATATTATTAATTATTATAAAATGGCAAAATTCTTAATTTTTAGGGTAGAGACGAGTTTTATTTAAGAAAAAATTATAAATGCTAATAACGCGTAAAATCATATCCCACTCGAGATGCGACACTTGATCACCTGTATCTCTCCTTTCCCTCGACCTATAACCACCAAAATTTAATAGCATTAATGCCCTTAATATTCAAATCTCCCTGCTAAATTTCAGAAATTTTTGTCAAATAGCACAGGAGTTATTTAGCTTCAAAGAGGATGAACATAATTGTGTCCCCACACACACACATAAATACACACTACAGTAACATCCATAAATACAGAAAAACCTCCAATTTTTTTGCATTTTTGGACGTTTTAAAGGCCCCCGAGTCCAAAAAAATGTACAAATTTTTAGGGCCATGTTTGACCTATCGCCATATTTTCCCTCTGTTATATACAACAGAGTAAGAAAAGTAAGATCTTAACTAGTCGTTGATTTATTTATTTACAAATTCNATAAAAATATGCGAATTCGTCAAAAATTCTTTAAATTAATTATTTCTTACTCAGTTAAATAGCAATAGAAAGAAATAAAGGGGGAAAACAGTCAGACAAACATACAGCTGAACCTCAAGAGATAGAGAGAAAATACATTCATAACACGAGAGATGTACGGTACATATGTATTTTTTTAAAATTTAATTTAAGCTTGAATATATTATTTTTATTCAATCACAAAATTGATTTAACTCATGCAAAGTTCTTTGTAACACGTTACGTTCGTTGACTCTTTTCTATCAACTCTAGCGATCTGTAATGTTGTCTGTTCGAAACTTTTTAGCTGTTTGAATAGAGAAAAAATAAAATAAAATCGATGATGACGACATAAATTGAAAGTCTGTCTACAGTTGCTTCTATATTGACTTACACTATGAATCTAAGAAACGAACTTTTATAATTTGATATACTCACAATAGTATAATAGCAACGACGTCGTCCTTCATGTATTACTCTGTCAATATTATTTCATTTTTCTTATCGAGATTTTTAAATACTTTTATGATTGTTTTATATTAACCATAAATAACTAAGCGAAACGTTTTTTTTTAATTGTAAATTTTTGTAAATTTTATAAAGAATTTTTATAAGAAAGATAATCTTATTTAACACTTAATTTTGATAATGTTTTACATTTTTATTTAATAAATTTGTTAAATCATTTTATACTGTTTGAAAATATCGCCTAATTTTCTTTTTTTTTTTTCTTTCTATTCCTTCTCCTTTTCTTTCTCCTTATTCTCATTCTCTCCTCCTCATTCTTCTCATTCTTACTATTCTTACTAGAGAAGGAGAATCTTACTATTTTCTTACTCTCTCTTCATCATCCTCTTACTCATCATTCTCATTCTTTTCTTCTTTTCCTTTTCTTTCTCTCCTCATTTCCCTCTTCTTCTTCTTCTCCCTTTCTTTTCACTTCTCTTTTTCTTCTCCTCATCTTTCTCTTGCTCATAATTTTCCTTTTCCTTCTCTTCACCTCCTTCTCTTCCTCCTTAATTTCTCCTTCTCCTCCTCCTCTTCCTCCTTATTTTCTCCTTCTCCTTTTCTTTCTCCTTATCCTTCTCTTTCTTAAACCATAATTTTAGTAAAAAACAAACGTTTATAAACAGAATCAGCCATTTGAAAATTGTGTAAGATATTTTGTGGTATATTATTTATAAAATTCTAACAAATAACCTTGGAATTTGTCGATTATTTAACTTTCAATTGGAGAAATAAAACTCCACGAAAGACGTTAATGTGTTGTAAACCTTTGTTCAAATGTTTAAAAAATGTATTTTCTGTTTAAAAATTTTTTTTTTTTTAAATTTAATTTCGTCTTTCATTATCATTTGATCGAAAATATTTTATTAACATTCAAAAATATCTTTGTTTTGCATAATTCATTTCTCTGTAATTTATTTACATGAAAGTAAACGATGTCATTTACTTTCAAAATAGCCAATATATTGCTCGAAATAGGACACTTTTTTGTGTTGTTTCGAGTGTCATTACAATACGGAAACAGAGTTATTTCGAGGTTATAATGGTAAAAATATTTATAAAATTCTTTTATTTATGTGTGCGACTGACATAGACCAGAGACACGTGATGAGCTTATGGTGAAAGTCCATAATGGAGCTTTCACTATGACAGAAGATTAGGGAAATTCTAGATTTCAGGAGACAAAAGTGAAAGCCCATAGTGGATTCTCTAATAAATTTTGATACTACAATAGAAGCTCCATTATGTGTCTTTAATTCAAGCCCCCAAAATCATGTGTCCTCCACCTTTCGAGTATAATAAGTGGTAAAAAAGTGAAAATAGCTTCTCTAAAAATGCTATAAATTCTATAGAATGGAATAGTTTAGACATTTATAATTAATAAATGACCCAATGCTTGAATTTTATGTTTATTAAATATAGATTAAATAACATATATAGTCATTTATTTAACGTTGGACGTGTTAAAAAGACATATTTGCTTGTAGAAAATTGATAATTTCTCGTTGAAGTTGTGGTTATTAAATCACAGTTTCTTATTTAACATAACATTCAACAGGAAATGATTACTTAATTGAATGCATTTTTGTTATTATTGAAAGTAAAATTACTTTAAGGGAGAATTTTTCTCTACTTTAATGATAAACCTTGTTCAATAATTAATATTTTAATTGCTTCAAGATTATTCCTCCAGCTTCAATGCTTAATAATCTGTAAAACAAGAATCCATTTGAGGAGGAAATATATTTATTTATTTTTATATAAATAAAAAAAAATGCTTCAAGTCGTACCTAATATCGATTTTTGTTTCTGTTTTTTCGGTACTTAATGTGAGAAAAATTAAGGAATTTATGGTCGAATTTTATTCATTTTTTGGTACTTAATATGGCAAAAATTAAGGAATTTATGGTCGAATTTTATTCATTTTTTGGTACTTAATATGGCAAAAATTAAAGAATTTATTGCTGAATTGTCCATATTTTCAGCGCTTAATATAGCAAAAATTAATAAATGTATATATATATACAGTATAATGGCTATAGGATTTTTATTAGAGATGATTTTAGGTTCCTGAAAGGTTTTATTTTAAAACCTTATTTTAAATGGATTTAAAGTTACTAGAAAAGAGTTTTTATTTCTTATAATCGAATTTTTCACCGAACGAATAGCTGGTTTTATTAAATGCGACGTTTTCTACAGTAGTTAACTAAACAATAGATTGACTTAAAATTCTTTTGTCTAAATAATATTTAAATAAAACAGAAACCGAACAAATTTTACACGATTTTAGCATTATAAAGTTACAGTTTTACATTTTTGGACCAGTGGGGGACCTTGAAACGTCGAGAAGTGCAAAAAGAAATTCTGTTTTTTTTCCTATACGAATGTGTGTAGCCGGCACAATTTTATTCCCCCATTTTGAAGTTTAATAACTCCTGTGCCTTTAGTCGAAAAATTCTGAAATTTGGCAGGGAGGTTTGTGTATTAGGGAGAAATGTTTCTAGAAATTTTCAGGAAATTCAGAATATTGGTTCGGGAGATATGGTTCAAATTCCCTTAATACCTTCAGAACCTATCTGAAAACTTACGTGTATAAAGGTGTGATGGTAGCAATTGTTAGAAATAAAAACAAATAAAGAACGTCAGCAAAGTCCAGCAACAATGTTGCTTGTTTTTTTAAATATAAAATTAAACCTCTAAACAATGGTGGGAAACATGAAAATGGTCGCAGTTTGCAGGCTGTTTTGTGTGCATCTCATAATACTTTACAAGGACGATGCTGTTTATGACGCTAAACCGACTTAAAGTATAATTTTTTTTTGTTTTATATTCAAATAAAACCTTTCTTATGTTATTGTTTTACAGATTAAGGATTTTTGAAATGTTTTCGAACCGAAGATCATGTCTCAGCTAGAATCAGAAGAGAGTTTATATTGCGAAGAAGATACCGATAATCCTTATCATGTTGTCTTGTTACCAGACAGTCCGTTGACAGTTGACAGTCATTTATCCCCCTGTCACGCCATTACTCCAGTTTCGACTAAAAGTGAGATATAAAACTACACAATTCTAATAATAAAATCATAGTCTTTCCGCGCTAGGAAGACACTTCAACGTAATGGAATATCGTCAAATGGTACGAGTCTACTTTCACAAATAGGGGGGTTGTTCGAGTTACGAAACACTTTACTTGATTAAAACTAAAAGGAAAAAAAAGCGATTTGACACGAGCTCAACCCCCTAAAATAATAATAATGGATCTATCCGTTGATTATGATATTTACGTCATTAGGTGTCTTCTTCGCGCGAATAGACAGAATCTTTTTACGTAGAAAATCGTTATTATTCGATAAATTTTAATTGTTATTTTTACAGGAATTGTTTATAACGAGATTTTATTTTAATTACCAAACAAAATTCGACGTTTTTAAACTGATTTTTAGCTTTAAAATATTCAAGCGATAAAAGTTGACTGAATCTTTTGATGATGGTGATGATATTCGATTTAATTCGTTCTTGTAATTGTTCTACGTATTCAGTGAAGTGTACTCCAGCAACAATAAATACGCTCCTCAACGTTGCATTCCACATAATGTAATAGTCACAATAGCTATCTGAGCAATAACACGATCATTGTTATTGGTAGATATTCACTTGAGGTCTCTTTAACAGGAGTAAGAAGATCGTCAATATCAATTGTTCTCGCGGTAAAGTGATCCTATGAATAATTCCATTGTTTAAACGATTCTTACCTTACGTAGATGTTGTATTATTAGGTATGCTATTGATTACTTATATAAAACTGTATGTGAAATTAAGGAATAGATTGAATTATTGAAGAACAACAATGCAGTCCAGTTGCCAGAAATTAATCATTTGTGGTCTACAGGGGCAAGCTGAAAAAATTCTGACTGTTATTTTTGTCTTTTCCAGCCAGCACTACAGTTCAAGTATAAGAAAACGTAACAGTAGCCAAGTTCACGTGATGAAACCGAAAGCATATATTATATATATATTGCACGTGGGTATTGACCACCTATAGCTCTACACCAATTATGTTGTCTGCCTAAATTTTGCTTGTTATTCTGATTTATGGTGCTCCAACTCGAATCCTCCATGAAAAGTTATAAGAAATCCAAGTTTGAATCCAATGGTATGGAATCCGAACCCGGATCTCTCATACAGGAAAGCGAGGAAAGCGAGGAAACCGCAAATAATCCATAACGGATCGTTAATTGATATGAATCAGAGTTAGAACAATGTTTCTATTCGAATTTCTAATTAAAAATCACTAGAGTTTTATCAAATTTGAAACCTGAAGGAACCTTTCTGTTGTGAGGATCCGCACATATCTGTTATAACGGATCCGAATCAAAGATGGCAGCAGTTTCCCCAATTATAACTTCTCATAACATTCACATGTTTTTAATAACAAAATATATAAACCTTTTTGAAGTTAATAAACATAATTCTGGTAAAATTTAAAAGCCAAATTTAACTTTTTTTAATATTATAAAACATGCAACTATTGATTTAATCTAGTCTCAGAAAACGAAAATTGTACTTTTTAAAGTTTGCTTGCAGCAAAATTTCAATTCAATATCTAAAATAGACTTTTTGAATTGGATAATATGCTTTGGTATTGGTTAAGATTTTTTCAAAGAACTCTCTATAGAAGAAAATCTATATATAAAAGTAAGATTCTAAACATTTTATGTTCATCAATTTCCTCTCATATCCACTGTTATATAATTCTGTAGACTCAAGTACAGGATGTTAGTTCGGTAGATTTATTGGAAGAACAGTGTTTACCTTATAACCATATACATTATACCTCATGGGAATGTTCTTTTTTTCAATTATTTCACTTTTTTCCCTGTTATAAAGACGATAAAGAATACGTTTTTTTCGTTTATAATGTCAACACCAAAGGCATATTTATTAAAGAAAGATTACTTTTAAGAAAATGAACGAATTCGAGAAGAAAAAATAAAACGAAAATTTATTATTAGATATAATATATTCGTATCTAATAATATAAACTTCCTTTTGTTTATTTTAATATTCATTTTGTACGCTTATTAATTAGAAATCTTCGTTAAATATGAGAGAAGAATAGCAAATAGCATTAAAGCTTTAAGTATGAGTTTTAGATTTGTTTATATTCATTTATTGTAACCTAATATTTAAAAAAAAATTCTAAGAATATAAGAGGTTCTCTGTGATATATATGTTATATAACGAATAAAATATTTTTAATGAAGAAGGTTGGGTCTTAACGATGATTGGATAACAAGATAGAAATGGGCAGAAACAGATATGAAACTCCGCCTACTTTTATTTCTTGTTAAATTAATCATTAACTTTGCAGGAGAATAAAAATTTTATCAAAGGGCGTGTACAATATTTTTAAATGCAAAAAGTTAGCCATACACATCAAGTTTCATTCACATAAACTTTCGCACACCTCAGTGCGATCAGCCAGTATCAAAATGGCTGCTTTCACAGGTGTGGAGCAAGCTTGTTCTGTGTTTTGGTTCCAAGAAACAAAGTGTGCTATACAGATTCACCTCCACCAATACGATGCAATTCCTTATTACCTCAGAGAAGTGTTTGAGTACCTCAACAATCAATTCCCTTTTATATTTGCAAATGGCAGATTGACCTTTGCTTCTCCATGAACCATTTCCATTTTGAGATTGAATTTTTCTTTCTACTAAATATATATATAAATAGATAGTAAGAGTTTCTATATATATATGCATATTTTAAGCTTTGTATTTTTTATTTATATAAATATCAATATTAATTTTAAAATGTAGAGATATAAAGTTATAGCAAGAAAGATTAATGTATCTAATAGGGGCAAGAGCACTAAGTAATGCATAATGGACCTAAAAAGTCTACTATACACTACTTTGTTCCCTTGGCCCATTTGATATACTGTACAGTATTTTTATTTGAGCTCTTGTTCCACTTCATATACTCTATTTTGGATTATCATTCACTTGATATACTCCACTTTGGGCACATTCTCACTTGATATACTCTACTTTGGGCTCTTCCTCCACTTGATATACTCCACTTTGGGCTCTTCCTCCACTTGATATACTCCACTTTGGGCTTTTCCTCTGCTTGATATATTTAGTGACTGTTTTCAAATGTAAAATTTTTCTTATTTTCACTCAAAATATCTTATTCTCTTCGAAAAATGTTAAATAATAAGATTAAAGATAGTTTTTTCAAAACAAATTAATACGTTTTAAGTTTAATGTTGGTTAATAATTCTATGTTATTAAATACAGTAGAGCGTCGATTTTCCGAAAGTCAATCATCCGAAACGTCAATCATCCGAAAGAATTCCAGTCGGCAAATTTAAATTTTCGCCAGTGCTGTGGCACTTCAATCTTTGGCTATGTCTTGGGCTACTCAAATATCTTACATTTTTGATACTAAATTAACATCTGAAGTATAATTTTTTATTATTTTTATATTTTTCAATATATTTATTTTGTTTGTACAAAATAAAAAAATAATTTTTAACGATACAATAGTCTTTGTTAGGCTTAACATCGACGAAAATTCAACGCAAAGCGACACGCAACGGAGAAAAATTTTAACATCGGATACGTTAAACAATTTTTTCGTACATAAATCGGTTATCCGAAATATCAGTTATACGAACAACCCCAGTCCCCAATTGATTCGGAAAATCGACGCTCTACTGTATTTGCATAAGATTTAAGAAATATTAAATTATTTCACGAAATATTTATACAAGTTAATACAAATGATGCATTATAAAATATTTATATACAGTAATAAAAATAAAAATATTTTTGTAATCAATATGACCTTGCCTTTTTATATAAGTAAATAATTTAATATAAGTTATATACAGATAAATTATATTATCCTTATTTTATTTGGCTTTCTACAAAATGGGATAAAAGTCAATACAGTACTATGCATATAATTATCGTGAAGTCTATGTATAGTATATATCACGTATAGGATCTATATATTGCTGTATATTATATAGATTCTACTGTATAATTACTCCTTTCTCGAGTTTTTCTTTCTGTAAAATATATAAATCATGGAAAATAGTAGAGAAGACAGAGTTAATTACAGTCTCTATGGATTTAGAGGATGCATCAATATAAGATATTAAAGATTATACCCAATTATTAAAGGGTAGATTTAAAATGTTTTACTAAAATAGGCTGATTGAATGGTAAAAATAATCAAATAGAACATTGAAATAGATTCAAAAACACGTAAGATAAGTCTTATGTTCAATGATTGAACCCAAACATATTAAACCCATTGTTTGAATCCTGTTCTTATATACGAGGGATGTAGTTAAAGTAATGCAAAAGTGGGCGTAAGTTTTTTATTTACTAACATAGATCGTTCAAATTCTACTTGTTAATAAAGTAATTCTTCCTCTATACAAAGATACGGTACCAAAACCAACATAGTCTCCATTACAAGCAATGCATTTGCATCATCGTTGAACCCAACTGTGTAATTCTGTATGAAAAAATTCAGATGTGAACTATTGTATTCGCTTTTTCACAACCAATTTCACTCCATCTGTATCATAAGATTTTTGTCCCCAAAGATTGTCCTTCAATAGACTGAAGAAGTGGAAGTTAGAAGGTGCCAGATCCTGGCTTGTAGGTGGACCGTTATTTCATAGAGGATTTCAGAGTTGGGTTCAAAAATGGCGCAAATGCACTGCTTGTAATGTGTATTGAGTAGCATCTATGTGTAGAGGAAGATTTACTCTACCAACAAGTAGAATTTGAACGATCTATGTCAGTAAATAAAAAAGTTGTGCCCACTTTTGTATTACTTTAACTACATCCCTCGTAAATAAGAACAGGATTAAAACAATGGGTTTAATATGTTTGGGTTCAATCATTGAACATAAGACTTATCTTACGTGTTTTGAATCTAGATTTTTATACAGAATATTTGTATCGATGTTTGATACAACAGCAGTAAACCAAATTCAACAAGAAATACTTAGATTTTTCGATAAAAATTTATTTTTAATTCTACGTGACATAAACATGTAAACACAAGTTGATGTGTTTCGATTTTTATCGAACATTTGCTTCCTCGAAGATCGTTCGAATGTATGAATATATTATTGATATACTTATAAATAAATAAATAAATATTCGTTCAGCAGCTGCTTTTGTGAGGTGTCACGTAAAATTCTATCATAAAAATTCATATATTCATATTCACGTGTTGTCTTGTTGTCTTCTAATACTTGTCAAAGACCTTCCATTATAAGAGGGATATGTTAGTCTGATCTTTTAAATTGATATGGTAATTAGGGACTTCATAAAGAGCAAAAAGGGTCACTCCAACAGGGCTCCATACCAGGCTTTCGAGGGGTTGCTGCTAGGTTATTACATCTCACTGCTTGACAACACTCTCCTCTGCAGCTTATCATATGAAATGTAGTCACTCTAATCTTCCATACTGAATACGTAACTTGGTAGACACATATTAACATAAATTACCATCGAACTTTATAAGATACACAGCAATAACGTTACTGATAAAGTCCGCATTTGAATACTTCTTCACTATACAGGGTGTCTCAAAAATACACGGCATAACATCAGGAATGAGTTCGTCATGTGTACACAATAGTTTATATCAACACAGGTCCATAAATGTTTGGTTTCATAGTTCTGAAGGTCTATCTACGAAACATAACTGTTCACGTCACCTTACGAAACCAAAGTTCTATCTTGATTTCGCTTGATTTATTTGATTATGGCAGCACGACAAAGGGTCCAACGTGAATAAAACCCGAAAAACTCCACATGACCAACCCGTTGACCAAATGCAAACCCACAAGTTACCAGTTTTCAGTTGTTTTACCCACTCGGCCACCGGTGGGCCCTTGTAATGAAGGAAATCATCTGCAGAAGATAAGACATTCCTGTTAATAACTCAGAAACCAAGACAGACTTTTGTAGACATAAACCATCTTTATTGTCTACACACAAGGAACTCATCAGGTTATATAGTGTATTTTTGAGAAATCCCACTTCTTACACCAATAGCAGGGAAGGGAACGATTAAATATTTATTTACTAAATTAAAAAAAAAGGATATACAAACTGACGAAAGCTCCATTGATTAAATTATAATGAAGACGTGTGAAGTCTGTTTTCTTTCATTTTTTTTTTATTTTTAGTTTTTAAAATCGATAAAAGAATTTTTTTTTCCGTTTGCTCCAGATGCTCTGAGTAACATTCAAGACTTCGTAGAGACGACAATTGTATTAAAAAAAGATAAAAAATCCGAATTAGGTATTAGCATCGCTGGAGGTAACGATACTTATTTGGTAAGTATTATGTATATATATATTTTAAAATAAATAAATTTAAAATTAATTCTTTAAAAATTCTCTTTATCGATCGATAGTTTTGCATGTTGCGAGCTTCTTTACGGAATAATCATTAATTATTTGATTATTATTTTTTAATTGTTGATTTATGTATCATTTGTAAGGATAATGACTGCTGTTAATGATCGTTTCGGCATTTTTTAAAGAGAATTTGTTGATTTATATTGTATATAAACATCCCTTTTCGTTAAATTTCTTGATTATAACTGGTAATATCGTTTATAATCATTAATAAACTTGTTAAATCTTTATAAATTAATAAATAGAAAGCTTGAGTGTTGCTGGACTTTCTTGGCATTGTTTATTTGTTTTCAACCCACGTGACTTTCTGTCCAAACTGGTAGTTTATGTATGCTTAATCGTAAACTCATACACCTAATCTTTCCACATCTGGTCTCGGTTTTCAACTCGTTCTCGAGGTTAAAGGAGGACAGACAGACAGACAGACAGACGGGAAATTACAGGTGTACAATTTTTTTCAAATTGCAGCCCAATTAAACTTTATATTTGTTTTTAAAATGTAAAATATGTTTCGTTCTGCTGAAGGTACGGGTTCGATTCTCGTATGGAAGAAATTACATTTTTGTAAGTCTTGATGTATGTATTGATTTAGTACGTAGCTAACATTCATTTGTATCCATTTTTAGTGGAAATGCGAGGAGAATAACGCCAATATTGTAGATATTAGCCTATTTTGTTTACTGATATCCGCAAGAAGAATGCAAGATCAATAGCTTTAAAGTAATTTAAGCTGAAGTTATGAGATAAATCAAACAAATGACCTTCTCAGCAATTAGTTTAATTCTAAATCAATTCATACAGAGTTTTACTTCGATCAGTTTGTTCTCTATAAATCTGTATAACAAGCAATTACTTTTTCGTAGATTTTGAACGTTTATCTTCTATACCCAATATTTACCGAAGTTATACTGTAAAATAATTGAAATTAACGAAATTATTAAGAAAAATAGATATTTTTCAATTAAGTAAATTGATTTTGTTGTATGAGGTTTGTATAATTTGTTAATTTAACAATTAGAAAAGAATCGATGGAAGATTTAAGCAAGCTACACACGTTCAGGTATACTAAACTGGCATGCTTGTTCAGGTATACCATTGTGTATATTTTATTACTAAATAAGTACTTTTTGACGATTTATATCTTAATATACCTGAATATATGAATCTAAGTGTCTTTTAAAGGATGTTAAAACTAGCGTACTCCCTAATCTAACTGGCTAAAGTATTTATCATCAGAATCTTCGTTTCCTTCATCTGATGGATCTTTTCTTAACACATTAAAATCTATGAGTGTTGCTTATTTATTAACATTTTAAAACTATACACTGAACGTAAATGATCTTTCATTTTTTAACATACTTTTAGTGTAATGTTTTCTTTGATTTGTTAATGCATCTGCAGCATTCTTTTTTATTAAATAATTCAACTATTTCATTAAGTATAGCGCGCATTTATCATGTTTCCGAAGTAAATCAGCATTATTAAACATGCTAATTTACTGTTATTCAAAGCAAATTTTTCTTGCTAAAGACGAAAAAATCAGTAAGAATTTCGTTTAGTGTCTTTTTTTTTCTAATTTTATGTTAGTAAATGTTCTCTATTAAGTTTTTATGATTTAAATCAATTGTAGAAATTAACTACAGCTGTTAAACCTTGTTTATTTACTAATTATTTACGATTATAATTTACATAATTAAATTTACAGATATAAAATGAAGACAAAGTGCAAAAATTTGTAAATTTTTTACAAGTTTGAGATGTCAAAACGTAATTTATTAAAATTAACACGAACATTAACTTAATTTCGCACGGTTTAATGTTTAAAAAAGCCAATAAAAGTAGCTATAAAAACGAATTTAAAAAGAAAATTAATACAGTAAAACCTGTCCAAGGCGGAACCTAACCTTAATTAAACGGGAAACCTGCCTAAACGGGAGCGCAGCGATCTTCCATGTTAAAAAAAATCACCTGCCCAAAACGGACACTTGCCAAAAACTTTTTAAACTATTATAAAATAGCAAAGTGATTAATTCTGAAGGTAGGGATGAGTTTTATAAGAAATTATAAATGATAATAACGAATAAAATCGTCATTAAGTCCGACCCTATTGGAGATACACACGACCCCCATTATCTCCCCACTCCCTCGATCTTTCACCACCAAAATTTAATAGCATCAATCCCACTAATAAACAAACCTCCATGCAAAATTTCAGAAATTTTCGACTAAAATCATAACAGTTATTAAGCTTCAAACAAGGGGAACAACAAGGGGTAAAAATCACGAGGGGAAGGAAGGTCATTTTCTATACTTTCTCTCTGTATAACAACCGTGAAAGTAATTAAAAAAACTAATTAAAAATAATAATAATAATAATAATTAAGTTTATAATATTTTTATTAATTTAAAAATAAAAATAATACCGAAATAAATTCAAGAAATCACTTTAATTAACGATGAAGTAAGTAGGTTAAGAGATGGAAAGAGCATCGATTTACTTATTATTCTTAATGGCAAATTATTTTAATGACTTAATTTAAATTTTATTTTCTTTTATTTTTTAAAATTTATTCGGTTTGTTTGTCTGTTATTGTATGTACAGGAGCAAGTTTGCGTAACTGAAGTACATAAAGATGGAGCAGCTTATAAGGACGGTCGATTGAAACGTGGAGACGTCCTTCTAGCTGTGGGTATCGATGTTTATAATTAGAATTTTCTTTAAAAAATAAATAAATAAATAAAAACTGTATTTTTATAATATTTAAATAGGTTAACGATGCATCTTTAAGGGACGTAACGTCTGTAAATTCGGTCAAATTACTTCGTGAAGCTTGCTCTCCCGTACGTCTTTTAATACTCAGGGAAAATCCTCAGACTCTATTTACGACTTTAAGTGGTAAAATTGTTTTTAAAATATAATTTTTTTTTAGTTTTTTACTGTTATAAATGTAAGTAAATTTCCTTTCTTCTTATAGATCCTTCGAAATTTATAACAGTAGAATTAAGGAAAGGTAGTATTAAGGACCAACTTGGTGTTAGTATCGTGCAGAGAACGTGAGTAATTTCGTTATTTCTTAGTTTAAATATTATTAATTAGTTAAAATATTAATTTACGATGAATAAATTTATATTTTACGAGGGAGAAATACGTATAGTAGTAAAATTAATGGTTAAATAGGCCTATTTTGATTTTTTTTCTGTCTATCGTACTCTATATCCTTACAGGTTAATGGAAGGATGCGAGATTGATATAAGGGTTTCATCAAATATTTCATATACATTGTAAAAACAATAATATGGCGTCGCGACGCGCCGCGTAAGGATGCGATGATGCGCGCCGCTTTCGCGTAGAGTGAATAAGTGATTATAAGCAAATAGTTGATTTAAAATTACCAAAATTTTCGTACAAACGAAATAATTCAGAGTTATAAGTGAAAGTTTTAATTATTATTTTTTTAATTTATACGTTTACTATAGCAAATTTAATTTTACGATCGCGTAACGCATGCGACGGAAGAAAAATTATAATTTGTTCTAAAAATAACTTAGTTGTAATAATATTAATTAATATAATTTTAATTTTGTGTGCTCTTTATTGCGTAATTAACCTTATTTGTACAGTTTAGCGCGAAATAACGAAATTTTGAAAAGAGGCGCCATATTGGTTTACGACGCGACGAGACGCGACGCGAAGCTTCGGTGATAAAAGTTTAACTGTGAAAGGGTAACGTTATGCCTTATGTAAAGTTAACGTGACTTAATTGCTATAGTTAACATTTAACACGACGCGTAACGCTCCTTAATGTTACGCGTTAAATGCGTCACGTAATATTACTTAATGCTTTATTTATATCATGTAATACGCTTTTAAATATTCACGCCTCCTATTAACGTTATAAAATCTTTCAACCAATTAGAGAACCAATCGACGTTGTATTTAGAAGAAAGGAAATTCAACCAATCGTAGAGCAGTCCATAATTTAAATATTCACGCCTCTTAATTACGTTATAATAGATTTTAACCAATTAGAGAACGAATCGACGTTGTATTTAGAAGAAAGGAAATTCAACCAATCGTAGCGCAGTCCATAATTTAAATATTCACGCCTCTTAATTACGTTGTAACAGATTTTAACCAATTAGAGAACGAATCGACGTTGTCTTTAGAAGATCACAACTTTTTAAAATAGTTTAACTAAAAAATTATATTAGAAATAATTATTAAGCTGTTTTAGGCTATATTTATTTACTCCTAGAAGGATGATGTAAGAGATCGTTATATAAACTATAAATGAGCTGCATCATGTTAGATGCAGACATAAATGTAGGCATATTTGTCACGTAATAAAGCTATATTTATCACTCGAATAAAGCCATAGACGATGGAATTTCTCTTATATTAAATACCTCATCCATCTCTTTATATGTTAGTTATAACGAGAATCTGAAACACAATATAAGTATATAGATTAATACAATACAGTAGACTGAGGAGAAACTGAACGAGTATATAATAAATGTAAATTATACACAAAAGATTCTAAAAAAATAATTCTAATAATTTGATTTTAAAGTCTTATTTATTTATTTTTTTTTATCATTATTTCTGTTATCAGTTTTCTTCCGTTAGCGTTGGACGGGCATACGGACTGGCATTTCACCATAGATTCTATACAATAACATAAAAATATCAGTTTTATTATAAACAAATTAGCTATTTTTACTCTTTGCATGCAAAAAATTTTGAAAATAGAATCATTTTCACCCTTTCTCTTGTATTAAATATCCATTACATTTCTCTAATTTATCATTTATCAAACGTTTCTCGTTATATAATCTAAAAATTAAAATTTGTTTCAATTTTAAGCATTTTAATGCAGTGTTTTGTGAACTTTCCGGACCTTCCCCTATTAGTGCATAAATTTCTTATATATAGGCTATATATTTTTTCAAAATGAATTTTTGTTTCCCTTGCCTTTCATCACACCCTTAAATCCCCTTGTTACATTAAATCAGTGATTTCAGAATTCCCTTGGATCCTCTTGTAACAATAAGTCAGTGATTCCAGCATCTCCTTGAATCCCCTTGTTACATTAGGTGTAAATCAGTGATTCCATCACCCTTTAAATCCCATTTTTCCAATAAATCAGTGATTCCAGCACTCCCTTGAATCCCCTTGTTACATTAAATCAGTAATTCCATCATCCCTTGAATCTATTACCGCCCTCAAGGGGGAGATAGAAGACTCAAGGGGATGCTTGATCACTAATTTAATGTAATAAATTATATTTTTACCTTTAAAATTGGAATATCCGTTAGAAAACGATGCGAGAAATTTTCTAAACCAGTTTTTCCCCTCCTCTTATATATATATATATAGAAAAATATCTGACAGAAAACTGCTGATGACTTCAGAATATATTTACTTAGCCTCTGATATCAGATACAAGTACAAATAAAATTGATCCGAACTGTCACTATCACCACATTATTATTTTTTTAACATCACTACTACTTTATCCATAATTCCTTATCACACTAGTTAATCTAGATAAATATATAATTATAATTTGCTAACTTCTTCTCCCCTATTTTTTCCTTTTCCTTTTTCCTTACAGAAATGGATGTGGAGTGTTTATAACATACGTGGTAAGTTACTATACAAACTAATGGCCTCTGGTATTTGAAATATATATGATAATTATTATATATAAACTTCTAGCAGCCAGGTAGTATAGCTGCTAGACACGGTAGGAGAATTCTTCAGGGAGATCAGATTCTAGAGATTAATGGACATAACGTTCGTGAAAGCAATCAGAAGGATGTGGCTCACATGCTGCAGGTAAGTCAAGATGTTTATCAAGTGATTTTAAAACATTTTTTTCAAAAAAATTAGCCCATTGGCTCGTTTATACAGCTGTGTTAAAGCCTCTTTGCTAGATAACTCTCCCATTGTTTTTACCATACTGTCGTTATTTCGAATAGTGTAAATTCTTAAATTATTCACGTAAAATTCTTTCTAAATATGTTTTTTTATAGCAGTTAGACGGTAATATAGTTCTCTTACTGGGACGTGTACCGCATTTAACGCAAGCGATTCAAGAGTGGGCGAGAAGGAAAGCGCAACAGTTTTTAAGGACACGTACCAGCACCTGGTCGTCTTATACCGGGATATCGAAGGAAAAATTGCAGACACAAAGGCCTAGGTTCGTATAAAATAATGTAAATTAATAAGGCAGAGATAAGATGGCTTCAATGAAACGTTAAAGATATGATTCATTCTTGTAATCGATCGAATTTTATTACATTATGACACTGTAGTGACGTTATATCGATAATTTCGAACGTGAAAGACTTGATGATGAGAGTATTAAATTCAATTAATATATAAATAATAATAGTAATAAAGTTATAATCGAATATGTTTTTAAAAAAATATCCATAAATACGTTCGAACCCCGATTTAACGCCACCTTCAAAATTGGCACTAAATCGAGTGTGGCGGTGAAGTACAGCAGAGATAAAAAATTATATATAGTAACGTGGCTTATAGAAAATATAAATGGATGGTGTACATAAATATTTTATTATTTATGGCGCCGTTTAGGAGTCCACTATATCGAGGCTTGACATTATAATTTTTCTCATTTGAATTCTTTATTTTTGATTGGGTATTTTAAATTAACTAAATCTGACAAATTAACTAAAATATTTTAAATAGTAAATTCGACCAATCAATTGCTTCTCCGAATATTACGTCTGTACGATTGCAACCAATCAGTAGAACAAATGCGTTTGACTTTAACGTATCGTGTTTTTTACTTCATTCCACGACCGAAAAATTTCTCTTATTTGTTTAATAATTAATTAATTAATTCCAATTGTTTTATATTTTATATACCAGCGATTCTCAATCTTTTTAAGTCTGTGGATCCCTTTTCGAAATGAAAAAAAAAGAAAAAGAAAATTGGCATTCCCATAAGACGGAAGGGCCAATTCTTTAATTATTTATTGTGTTATTTACTTGTATTACATCTTAAGCTAAGTTTATACACGTAGATAAATGTGTAACTGCTATAAATTTAATTATAATCTCATTTGAAGTTACTTGAAACATGCCTCAATTCTTGAACTCTTGAAGTTTGAAGAACTAAAGCTTGAGAATCGCTGTTCTGTATCGATTAATATTGATTTATTGTATTCTTTTCTTTCTTTCTTTCTCTGTACAGTCTTCCAGTGAGTAAAGATATCTACTCTTTGGCATTTCCAAATTATAACAGCAACGTGTGTCCTCCCGGTACAGACAGGTATCCATCCAAAGATATAAGCAGAAATTCAAGCGTAAGATCGCGTTTGAGTATCGTGACCGAGAATACTAAAATGATGCACTCGAACAAGCAAGAAGTTCACACAATTGACGATTTCAGTAATGCAGGTTCCGAAAACCCCCTTCTACCGAGTATCTGCGTGACAAGTTTCTAACACGGCTTCATTGAATAGTGATACCAATTCATTCCGTGTCATTAGCAATATTAATTTACGTTTTTCTCTCTCTTCCCTTATTTGTATATAATATACATAAATATGTCTTGTGTATTGGCTGTGTACAGTACAGTACATGCTTCGGTTTTTCTTTTGTCCATTTAATATGAATATTGTGCCAAAATATGAAATATATTTGTGCCTCCTGTTCTAAAGCCAAGCTTTGGATTTTAAAAAAATATATATATAAATAAATAAAGAATAGTTTTATAAACCAAAAATATATATTTAAAAATAAAACAGAATTTAATGTTTACGTATATATATACATATATAATTGTATTTTTAAAACGTTTATATCATCGATAAGTGTGTAAAGAGTGAGGAAAATCGTAAAGATACACGTGTGTCGAGTAGAAAGGATAAGTCAATAGGGCCTTATTGCCAGTATATAAAATTATTTTGTACATAAAAGTATGAGGTTTAAAGAAAATAATGGCCCTTGCCAGTGTAGGTTAAACGTCGAATTTTAAATTTAAGAAATAATAAACAAAGAAAAAAAATGAGAGAAAATACTATACTTTTTTGCTTGATATAAAGGATATAATTTTATGTAATATTTATATACTGTTAAATTATTAAATAAAAATTTATTAAAACAATATTTGTAGATGATGGTTATTTATTTATTTATTTATTATTTTAATTTTAATGTATAGTAGTCGGTCTAGTCCGTCACTCGCTAATCCGTCACTCCGCACGGTGGCGCACGTGAAATTTCAGTGTTATCCCTTGTCCATATGACATAGAGACATTCTTACAAAATTTGGTAATCCGACACTCGCCGGTCCGACAGGATCCGGATTACAGAGAGAGATGTCGGATTACAGAGAGACATTGAGAAATTTAAAAAAAAAAAACGCTTTTCTTGGCTCGTTTATCGAGATTGGAGGGAGATTGTGAGGTGGACTTGTAATCTTGTAATAATATTTACGAGTTTTGTTTTAATTGGGTTGTAATTTTCAAAAATTGTAGATCTGTAAATTCCCACTGGCATTCGTTCGTTCGCTTGTCTGTCCTCTTTAAATCTCGAGAACAGAGTTTTATATATGGATAGCAGGAGGCCCCGATTAAGGGCAGGAGGCCACGATTAACTATATAAGAACTTTCGGTTCGGTTGGAAAAGCTGAATAATAATTGAGATTAAGTTTAATAAATTGGGGGAGAAAAAAACATGGAAGAATTAATAATAAAGAAAAAGCAAAGAGTAATATCGAGATGTTACTTCTGAGACTAATTTACGAAACAGGAAATTAAGAGAAGTTCCTTCAGGTAATGGGAAAATAAATATGGAAGAAAGGCAGAATAGCTGATGATGATGAAGATGAAAAGTCGTTAAATTAATAAACAATAAGAAAATGGATAGATAAGGAAGAAGAAATGATGATGACATGAAAAAAAATCATTTAAGAAATGAAGGTTTAAAGTAATGAGAAGATAGGAATATAAATAAGAAATAAGTAAATAAGAAGATAGGAAGAAGGACGTGATGGTAATTAAAAAATAATGAAATAAATAAAAGTTTATAATCGATATTGACGAACAGGAATCAAGTATGGAGAGAGAGAAAGAGAAGAAAAAATGTTGGAAAGAGAAATAAAATCAACAAAGCACGAAGAACGGATGGGGGAAAAGAATATAATAATAATAATAATAAAGGAAAGAGGAAGAAATAACGGAAGCAGATGAAGTAGAAAAATATCAGAGTTATAGAAGTATCAAAGCTAACATAACAAATTGTTAAGCTTTCAAAAATTATTAACAAGAATTATTCAGCTTCTCTTTAGTTAAATCTTCGCTGTATAAATTTACATTAATTTAAATATATAACTACTTCACGTATGCCTGAATTTCATTAAATAACGTGAAACGGTCAGTCATACATTATAATTGTATAAATTAGTATATAGAGTAAATGCTTTATAGACGATCGATACGGTATAAAAATTCCTCACATCGAAAATATTAAATAGTAATTTAGATATTTGGGTCCTTCCATTTTTCTCTCTGTCCTTCGTTAATCTCGAGAACTGTATACGAACTTCCAGTCTGGACCGGAAGTCACGTGATTTCAATTTAAAATTCCCTCTCCCCCGAGTGGAATTACATAGATAACCGGCATAATTCTATCGTTATCAGGAAAAGTATGATGTACAGGGGCAAGACACTACAAATTTGAGATCGAGAGCATATATTTTCAATTAAATAAGTTAAATTTGCGACCAGGCGTTGTGAATAATTTCTGCTCGTGTTAAAGAAAGGAAATATTTAAAAGAAAAAAATTTATTTCACAATAAAATTGTACAAACAACATTGTTTTTTTTTCATGCTTGGAAGCAGCTATCGTCCGTGGAAGAGCGATAATTTCTAACATTCATTCGTAACACAAAAAATGGATTTTCACATAATGGCACCGATACCCTGTCGATAACCGTAAGCAGATTTCAATGAAGAGGATTTACTATCGCGAGTAAGAGACACTTGAATTTTTTTCTTAAGTAAATCTTCGCGTAATCTCTTAACATCGTCCTCGGCTTGTCTCCTTAGCTATAAACAAAAAAAAAATTTTTTTTAATTTATCACTGAAATCGAGTATTAAGAATGTGCTTCCAGAAGAGGAAGAGTAATTTCTGGGGTGTATTTTGCGAGGAGAAATGATTTATTCAGAGAAATAATAGAAGAGGAAATATGCGGAAAAGAAGATAAGGTAGAAAAATGAAGATGAAGAGAAAAGGTGGAAAAAGGAAGACGTAGTTTGATAAATTGAAAGAGAAAGAAAGCTGAATAGCGTGCGAAATTGAAGAATGGAGGATTTCTCATTAGGCCAACTGTACAGGATACAAAAAGAAGAAGAAGAAATATACCTCGATTTCTGCTTTTAGTTTAATTTTTGTCGATTCGACTCTCTGCCTTAATTCTTCTATATCTTGTAAAAGGCGAAGTATTCCTAATTTGTATGTTGTCTAAAAAAAAAACATTAAGTAGAAAATACAAACACACACACACACACACATAGATAATAGCAAAATATATTTCTATACAGTACGAGTAATTGAGTTTACTCACTCTAGATGACGGTTCGTTTCTTCCTGCAGCAGCTTTCTCTTCGTTATATATCTGGCTTAACATTTCTCTAACTAACTTCTCTAATTCTTGTCTGAGTTGAAAGCATTCGTCTTCTAATCTTGGAGTGTTTTTCTTTGCTTGATAATAACGCTTTTTCCATGCATCCCGTGCTGTAATAGATAAATATATATATATATATATATATATTTAATGTTATGATATACTTCGATAGTTTAAATCTTCAATCACCCTTTTATCTTATGCATATAGTCGAAGAGTAAATTCTCAGAAGTGTTTTATAGGTATGTCACGTTAAAAACTTTTTATTTCTACTCAATTCACGTTGACATTTATTTATTTACAAAGTTTAGAGGGTCCGAGCCCTCTGGGACTCTCCAAAGTTATGATATCGCTTACAACATGTACGGATCTCTGCGATACATGCAAGATTCAGTGTGCTTAAATGATTTTCACAATGATTGGTTCTGCTTTAACCAATCAACGTTCAGAAGCTGTATATTTCAAACCTGCATCTTATTTATATCACAGAGGACGGTTTATGTTTTTAAAATAAATTGTTTTTAATTTAATTTTAAAAATTTCCTTATTATTAAATTAATTCTATAGTTTAAATGACTTTTTTTTCTTTTACCTTTTTCTAGTTGGTGCATTTTTAATTCTTTTAATTCTTTGGCTCGTTTTACTAATTCTGCTCTTTGCATTTCGTAATATTTCCTTTCTCTTTTAGTTCTTTCTAAAAGTTTGATCAATTTTCTCACTATAAATTGAAAAGATCATTTTAGAATAATTTAATTTAATTTAATTTACATAATTAATGCAATTTAATTGATTATTCCATACTTTTTTCTTCTCTCTCTTCTGCGTTAAGACGTTGAAATTCTTTAGGATTCGTTTCTGCTTTTAAAATCTCTAAATTTGTCATCTTTTTATGCACATTTTCCGTCGAACCCGAAGTTTCTGCTTTATTCTGTTCGTTCGATTCTTCCGTATTTTCTTCAGCCTTTTCTTTCGTTTCAGATTCTTCATTTCCATTTTCCTTATTTTCGTCTTTCTGTTCGGATTCTTCATCTTTCTGTTCATCAGCATTTGGCTGCTCTTGATTTTCTTCAGCATCTCCTTCTTCTTCATTTTCTTCTGCATCTTGTTTAACTTCTTGTTCCTCGATTTTATTTTCTTGGGTTTCAACTTTTGCTTGTTCTTCTTGATTTTCATCGTTAGCTTCATTTTCGGCTTGAGTTTCCTCTTTATTTTCTTCCTTTGTTTCGGCTTTTTCTTCTTCTTTCTCCTCTTCTTCTTTACTAACTTCAGAAACTTGTTCTTCTTTATTAGCTTCACAAACTTGACTATCATCTTGACTATTTTCTGTCACTTCAGTGGTTTCAACAGCTGTTTCTTCTTGAGTACCATCGTCTGCCTCCTTTTCTTCATTATCTTGGACAGTCGTTTCTTCTTGCGTGCTTTCATCTACATTCTTTTCTTCGCTACATTCAGCAACAGTTTCCTGTTTTTCAGCTTCAACATTTTCTTCTTCCACTTTTTCTTCACTTTGTTCGGTGTTTTCTTCGGATTTTGTTGTGTTTTCTTCCTCATTCTCTTCTTCTTTTTCATCCTTATTTTCTGCGTTAATTTCTTCTTCACTTCCCTCTTTATTTTCTTCCAATTTTTCCTCATCGGTTTCTTTCTTATCCTCGACTTCCTCGCCACCTTCCTCACTTTTTGTCACATTTTCAACGTCCGTATTTAGCTCGTTGTTCTCTGCCTCTTTCATATTTTCTTTCTCCTCTTCTCCGGTTTCTCCATTTGGCTCGATGTTTACATTTTCATTCGATTCTCCTTTCTTTACTTCATCTTGAGAGAACTCAATATCTTCTGTTTGCATTTCTGCCTGCTCCAATTCTTCCAATTCGCTAGCTTTGGCATTTTTTTCTCCATCTTTCTCCTCTTCTGCATCTTCGATATTTTGGGCGTCAGATAATTTCTGCTCCGTTCTAACAAACAAACAAAAAAAAAGTTATATATAATTAAGAACATAAAACTACTTCATCAATCACAACATTACGTTTACATTTCTTCGCCATTAGCATTCTCGACTGCTGAAGTATCTTTACATTCGCCATCATCAGAGACTTCGTTATCGTTTCCATCTGCATCGTCCTCGTTAACGTCCTTTTTTGACATATCTGTAAAACGAAAAGGATTCATCTAAGAAGGAATTTTATTAAATAGAATAATTGAATTAAAACTTGGAAAAAATTATATCCACTTAACGAGACGAACACGAAATAAAATTAATTAATTTTATCATACCCGAGGCAAATTATATATACATCTGATCGAAAAGCAAATTATCTGCTAATAATTAGTGTATTAATATCCCATTTTATTCATATCTACTCTTCTCTCAAGTTCCTATTTCTCTCTTCTCTAAAATCTTTTTCACTTTCTTCTAACACTTCTATACTTTTCCTAATTGAAATCTTTATTAGTTTTAATATCTTCTAGATTCTTCTTCTTTCCTCTTTTTTTTGGCATATTGTTATAAGCTTTATTTATTTATTTTAAGCACATGCTAGACTATTTTCCTTCCTTATCACATAAGAAAGTGAAAAGAGCTATCTATCTCTACTTTCCATCTTACCATCTTTTACACATTATTCTTATTAGATTCGGGTTAAAAATATTTATCCTGAACTTTCGTCATTCTTTTTCCATTAACAATTTTCTCATACGATCCCATTTAGGCCATTTAAGTGTTCTTCTTAAGTTACTTGTCCTTCTCTCTTAAGATCTTCCCTGCTCTTTAAATCTTTCAAAGTAGAAATGCATTTGTAAACAATTATCAGAAGAATTGCTTAATATTCGAGTGCATAACATACAATTTACCTAGCACGATAATTATTATTGTATATCGAAAAGAATTCTTCCGATCATTACTTGTAGACTCAAAAGGGGAGGAGAGGCAAAGTATAGCACTCATTTAACAAAGGAATGTTATTGATTTTTGGCATCCCATCGCCATTTAATTACTCCATCAAACGTATATAATTCTCCCATAAATCTTTATAATTCGATAAACGTTATACAAACCTTTAGTTACTTCCTCTTCTACTCCACTATCTTCGGCCCCAATTTCTGAATATATCCCTTCTTTTAAATAAATTTCTGGATCTTCTGCCTGTAATATATACATTGTACACATTAAAAATTGCGGTTTCCATCGCAAAATATTATTCTGTAGTACAAGAATCATCATAATCATGTTCCACTACAGAAGAGAGACTATGAGAATATTCTTATAATACGTTTCTACTAAGAATCGAATCGATGAAGTGACGTCAAAATGCCACTTATATATATTCTAAGACGAATAAATTACTTGTCTTAAATAATATATGATGAACATTAAAATCTAAAATTAAAGAAAAAAGAAATTAGAATTTAGAAAAAGTTAATTCCTTTAGATTTACATGTACATTCGAGTGCATAAAATATCAAAATAAAACAATTGAAAATGAATATAAAAAATNTTTTTCCCCTCCTCTTATATATATATATATAGAAAAGATGGAGCAGCTTATAAGGACGGTCGATTGAAACGTGGAGACGTCCTTCTAGCTGTGGGTATCGATGTTTATAATTAGAATTTTCTTTAAAAAATAAATAAATAAATAAAAACTGTATTTTTATAATATTTAAATAGGTTAACGATGCATCTTTAAGGGACGTAACGTCTGTAAATTCGGTCAAATTACTTCGTGAAGCTTGCTCTCCCGTACGTCTTTTAATACTCAGGGAAAATCCTCAGACTCTATTTACGACTTTAAGTGGTAAAATTGTTTTTAAAATATAATTTTTTTTTAGTTTTTTACTGTTATAAATGTAAGTAAATTTCCTTTCTTCTTATAGATCCTTCGAAATTTATAACAGTAGAATTAAGGAAAGGTAGTATTAAGGACCAACTTGGTGTTAGTATCGTGCAGAGAACGTGAGTAATTTCGTTATTTCTTAGTTTAAATATTATTAATTAGTTAAAATATTAATTTACGATGAATAAATTTATATTTTACGAGGGAGAAATACGTATAGTAGTAAAATTAATGGTTAAATAGGCCTATTTTGATTTTTTTTCTGTCTATCGTACTCTATATCCTTACAGGTTAATGGAAGGATGCGAGATTGATATAAGGGTTTCATCAAATATTTCATATACATTGTAAAAACAATAATATGGCGTCGCGACGCGCCGCGTAAGGATGCGATGATGCGCGCCGCTTTCGCGTAGAGTGAATAAGTGATTATAAGCAAATAGTTGATTTAAAATTACCAAAATTTTCGTACAAACGAAATAATTCAGAGTTATAAGTGAAAGTTTTAATTATTATTTTTTTAATTTATACGTTTACTATAGCAAATTTAATTTTACGATCGCGTAACGCATGCGACGGAAGAAAAATTATAATTTGTTCTAAAAATAACTTAGTTGTAATAATATTAATTAATATAATTTTAATTTTGTGTGCTCTTTATTGCGTAATTAACCTTATTTGTACAGTTTAGCGCGAAATAACGAAATTTTGAAAAGAGGCGCCATATTGGTTTACGACGCGACGAGACGCGACGCGAAGCTTCGGTGATAAAAGTTTAACTGTGAAAGGGTAACGTTATGCCTTATGTAAAGTTAACGTGACTTAATTGCTATAGTTAACATTTAACACGACGCGTAACGCTCCTTAATGTTACGCGTTAAATGCGTCACGTAATATTACTTAATGCTTTATTTATATCATGTAATACGCTTTTAAATATTCACGCCTCCTATTAACGTTATAAAATCTTTCAACCAATTAGAGAACCAATCGACGTTGTATTTAGAAGAAAGGAAATTCAACCAATCGTAGAGCAGTCCATAATTTAAATATTCACGCCTCTTAATTACGTTATAATAGATTTTAACCAATTAGAGAACGAATCGACGTTGTATTTAGAAGAAAGGAAATTCAACCAATCGTAGCGCAGTCCATAATTTAAATATTCACGCCTCTTAATTACGTTGTAACAGATTTTAACCAATTAGAGAACGAATCGACGTTGTCTTTAGAAGATCACAACTTTTTAAAATAGTTTAACTAAAAAATTATATTAGAAATAATTATTAAGCTGTTTTAGGCTATATTTATTTGCTCCTAGAAGGATGATGTAAGAGATCGTTATATAAACTATAAATGAGCTGCATCATGTTAGATGCAGACATAAATGTAGGCATATTTGTCACGTAATAAAGCTATATTTATCACTCGAATAAAGCCATAGACGATGGAATTTCTCTTATATTAAATACCTCATCCATCTCTTTATATGTTAGTTATAACGAGAATCTGAAACACAATATAAGTATATAGATTAATACAATACAGTAGACTGAGGAGAAACTGAACGAGTATATAATAAATGTAAATTATACACAAAAGATTCTAAAAAAATAATTCTAATAATTTGATTTTAAAGTCTTATTTATTTATTTTTTTTTATCATTATTTCTGTTATCAGTTTTCTTCCGTTAGCGTTGGACGGGCATACGGACTGGCATTTCACCATAGATTCTATACAATAACATAAAAATATCAGTTTTATTATAAACAAATTAGCTATTTTTACTCTTTGCATGCAAAAAATTTTGAAAATAGAATCATTTTCACCCTTTCTCTTGTATTAAATATCCATTACATTTCTCTAATTTATCATTTATCAAACGTTTCTCGTTATATAATCTAAAAATTAAAATTTGTTTCAATTTTAAGCATTTTAATGCAGTGTTTTGTGAACTTTCCGGACCTTCCCCTATTAGTGCATAAATTTCTTATATATAGGCTATATATTTTTTCAAAATGAATTTTTGTTTCCCTTGCCTTTCATCACACCCTTAAATCCCCTTGTTACATTAAATCAGTGATTTCAGAATTCCCTTGGATCCTCTTGTAACAATAAGTCAGTGATTCCAGCATCTCCTTGAATCCCCTTGTTACATTAGGTGTAAATCAGTGATTCCATCACCCTTTAAATCCCATTTTTCCAATAAATCAGTGATTCCAGCACTCCCTTGAATCCCCTTGTTACATTAAATCAGTAATTCCATCATCCCTTGAATCTATTACCGCCCTCAAGGGGGAGATAGAAGACTCAAGGGGATGCTTGATCACTAATTTAATGTAATAAATTACATTTTTACCTTTAAAATTGGAATATCCGTTAGAAAACGATGCGAGAAATTTTCTAAACCAGTTTTTCCCCTCCTCTTATATATATATATATATATATATATATATATATATATTTAATGTTATGATATACTTCGATAGTTTAAATCTTCAATCACCCTTTTATCTTATGCATATAGTCGAAGAGTAAATTCTCAGAAGTGTTTTATAGGTATGTCACGTTAAAAACTTTTTATTTCTACTCAATTCACGTTGACATTTATTTATTTACAAAGTTTAGAGGGTCCGAGCCCTCTGGGACTCTCCAAAGTTATGATATCGCTTACAACATGTACGGATCTCTGCGATACATGCAAGATTCAGTGTGCTTAAATGATTTTCACAATGATTGGTTCTGCTTTAACCAATCAACGTTCAGAAGCTGTATATTTCAAACCTGCATCTTATTTATATCACAGAGGACGGTTTATGTTTTTAAAATAAATTGTTTTTAATTTAATTTTAAAAATTTCCTTATTATTAAATTAATTCTATAGTTTAAATGACTTTTTTTTCTTTTACCTTTTTCTAGTTGATGCATTTTTAATTCTTTTAATTCTTTGGCTCGTTTTACTAATTCTGCTCTTTGCATTTCGTAATATTTCCTTTCTCTTTTAGTTCTTTCTAAAAGTTTGATCAATTTTCTCACTATAAATTGAAAAGATCATTTTAGAATAATTTAATTTAATTTAATTTACATAATTAATGCAATTTAATTGATTATTCCATACTTTTTTCTTCTCTCTCTTCTGCGTTAAGACGTTGAAATTCTTTAGGATTCGTTTCTGCTTTTAAAATCTCTAAATTTGTCATCTTTTTATGCACATTTTCCGTCGAACCCGAAGTTTCTGCTTTATTCTGTTCGTTCGATTCTTCCGTATTTTCTTCAGCCTTTTCTTTCGTTTCAGATTCTTCATTTCCATTTTCCTTATTTTCGTCTTTCTGTTCGGATTCTTCATCTTTCTGTTCATCAGCATTTGGCTGCTCTTGATTTTCTTCAGCATCTCCTTCTTCATTTTCTTCTGCATCTTGTTTAACTTCTTGTTCCTCGATTTTATTTTCTTGGGTTTCAACTTTTGCTTGTTCTTCTTGATTTTCATCGTTAGCTTCATTTTCGGCTTGAGTTTCCTCTTTATTTTCTTCCTTTGTTTCGGCTTTTTCTTCTTCTTTCTCCTCTTCTTCTTTACTAACTTCAGAAACTTGTTCTTCTTTATTAGCTTCACAAACTTGACTATCATCTTGACTATTTTCTGTCACTTCAGTGGTTTCAACAGCTGTTTCTTCTTGAGTACCATCTTCTGCCTCCTTTTCTTCATTATCTTGGACAGTCGTTTCTTCTTGTGTGCTTTCATCTACATTCTTTTCTTCGCTACATTCAGCAACAGTTTCCTGTTTTTCAGCTTCAACATTTTCTTCTTCCACTTTTTCTTCACTTTGTTCGGTGTTTTCTTCGGATTTTGTTGTGTTTTCTTCCTCATTCTCTTCTTCTTTTTCATCCTTATTTTCTGCGTTAATTTCTTCTTCACTTCCCTCTTTATTTTCTTCCAATTTTTCCTCATCGGTTTCTTTCTTATCCTCGACTTCCTCGCCACCTTCCTCACTTTTTGTCACATTTTCAACGTCCGTATTTAGCTCGTTGTTCTCTGCCTCTTTCATATTTTCTTTCTCCTCTTCTCCGGTTTCTCCATTTGGCTCGATGTTTACATTTTCATTCGATTCTCCTTTCTTTACTTCATCTTGAGAGAACTCAATATCTTCTGTTTGCATTTCTGCCTGCTCCAATTCTTCCAATTCGCTAGCTTTGGCATTTTTTTCTCCATCTTTCTCCTCTTCTGCATCTTCGATATTTTGGGCGTCAGATAATTTCTGCTCCGTTCTAACAAACAAACAAAAAAAAAGTTATATATAATTAAGAACATAAAACTACTTCATCAATCACAACATTACGTTTACATTTCTTCGCCATTAGCATTCTCGACTGCTGAAGTATCTTTACATTCGCCATCATCAGAGACTTCGTTATCGTTTCCATCTGCATCGTCCTCGTTAACGTCCTTTTTTGACATATCTGTAAAACGAAAAGGATTCATCTAAGAAGGAATTTTATTAAATAGAATAATTGAATTAAAACTTGGAAAAAATTATATCCACTTAACGAGACGAACACGAAATAAAATTAATTAATTTTATCATACCCGAGGCAAATTATATATACATCTGATCGAAAAGCAAATTATCTGCTAATAATTAGTGTATTAATATCCCATTTTATTCATATCTACTCTTCTCTCAAGTTCCTATTTCTCTCTTCTCTAAAATCTTTTTCACTTTCTTCTAACACTTCTATACTTTTCCTAATTGAAATCTTTATTAGTTTTAATATCTTCTAGATTCTTCTTCTTTCCTCTTTTTTTTGGCATATTGTTATAAGCTTTATTTATTTATTTTAAGCACATGCTAGACTATTTTCCTTCCTTATCACATAAGAAAGTGAAAAGAGCTATCTATCTCTACTTTCCATCTTACCATCTTTTACACATTATTCTTATTAGATTCGGGTTAAAAATATTTATCCTGAACTTTCGTCATTCTTTTTCCATTAACAATTTTCTCATACGATCCCATTTAGGCCATTTAAGTATTCTTCTTAAGTTACTTGTCCTTCTCTCTTAAGATCTTCCCTGCTCTTTAAATCTTTCAAAGTAGAAATGCATTTGTAAACAATTATCAGAAGAATTGCTTAATATTCGAGTGCATAACATACAATTTACCTAGCACGATAATTATTATTGTATATCGAAAAGAATTCTTCCGATCATTACTTGTAGACTCAAAAGGGGAGGAGAGGCAAAGTATAGCACTCATTTAACAAAGGAATGTTATTGATTTTTGGCATCCCATCGCCATTTAATTACTCCATCAAACGTATATAATTCTCCCATAAATCTTTATAATTCGATAAACGTTATACAAACCTTTAGTTACTTCCTCTTCTACTCCACTATCTTCGGCCCCAATTTCTGAATATATCCCTTCTTTTAAATAAATTTCTGGATCTTCTGCCTGTAATATATACATTGTACACATTAAAAATTGCGGTTTCCATCGCAAAATATTATTCTGTAGTACAAGAATCATCATAATCATGTTCCACTACAGAAGAGAGACTATGAGAATATTCTTATAATACGTTTCTACTAAGAATCGAATCGATGAAGTGACGTCAAAATGCCACTTATATATATTCTAAGACGAATAAATTACTTGTCTTAAATAATATATGATGAACATTAAAATCTAAAATTAAAGAAAAAAGAAATTAGAATTTAGAAAAAGTTAATTCCTTTAGATTTACATGTACATTCGAGTGCATAAAATATCAAAATAAAACAATTGAAAATGAATATAAAAAATATTCAATTCTAGTAGAAATTTGTATAATTAATTATATTTAATAATTAATT